TGTGCAATGCATATGAGCACCTCCTTCACACATTAAAATTAGCTTCACATTAAAGCCACCTCCCAACCAGAAATGGTCACTATATTCACCAAGAAACAGAAGAACGGTTCTATTGCCAGACCTTAGATTTCTTTTGCACACCCTGATAAGCCCTAGAAATGGTAGAAACCTCATTCATTTCCGACAACCTTTGCTCCTTTTGACAGCTACTAAAATCTAAAGTACAAGCATTGACAGGAAATAGTATTTTAGCACTACTGCAACAATGAAGATTGCTACAGTTTCTTTTGTAGCTTTACACTGATTTCAGATTAGACTTAATAAAACTGTTTTAAATATTCAGATATGCTGAAAGCCTCTTTCTTAATATGATGAACGTGATAAGCAGAAAACTCTGAAGCACTTTCTCCCCCCGTTTAGAGGTAAATCAAACTGATTGATTAGGAAAGTATGCTTCATGCACAGAAGAAATAATTTACTGAAATAAAATTTAAAAATTAATGAGCAGACTGCAAAGAAAAAACAGCTTCCACTTGAAAGGAGCAAAAAAACCCCAATTTAACAAAAGGAAAAGTGAAGGAGACCCTATCCCCATGAGCTAATTGTCTGTCTTGTGCTATAGGGGATGCTCTTGCTTAGCTTACAAGTGAAAGACGCTCCCTCCCTCCCTCCCCCGCAAGCATAGGAACTCCACAGTACTAATATGACACCTTAAATGAGCCAACTTCCCTGAGCATTGCCCAGGAGACTAGAATGGGCATGTCTCTTACTTCAGAAACTGAGAAACATGTCCAATTATCAGTCAGGCTGAAGAACATCTCTGACCAAGACCATCCCAGGAAAAACACTCATGTTCAAGCTGAAAAAAAAACACCACGGATTGCCCCAACTAGCATATTTTTATAGCCTTTGTGTAAACACAAACTCTGGATTAGCCAGCATCTCAGCTAGCTCTATCTGGATTCCCTTCTTTTGAAACAAAATTAAGGAAAACACCCACCAGAAAAGGTCAGTGGCCAAACTATTCGGAAAAAATAAAAGCACAGGGGAAGAACGTACATAGTGATTCATTAAATGTGTGCTGCCGAAACTCGTAACAGTGAGCACAAAACAGACTTTTCACAGAAACTATACTTAATTTGCAGAACTGTTGAGCCAAACAGAGCATTAACTGGAACTATATTTTTTAAGAAATTCTCAGTACTCCCCCTAGAGCTGCCCCCACCCATATAAGTGGTGTGAACCCCATGGCTCAGAGAGGAACAAAGCTAAAGCAACTATACAGAGTGCTGCCCTTGAAGGGCAGCGCAACAAAAGCTCTACCTATTTCAAGTGTACACCTATGCAAAACAAATGGACTGAGCATCTCAGGTTTTTAGAAAAACACTCAACCTGGAAAATAAGCATGTCATAAGGCGAGTACCCAGGTGGGAACTCACCTTATGCTGTCACTAGAATACACTGTCACAGATCACCAACCACACCAAATCATGTACAATGAGCAGTATTGCTTTTTACAAAACTAACACCGTTCTGAGCCAAACAATATGCATTTGACTACAGTAACTTTCCAAGATGCATCCCAGTCCTAATCTGAAAGCATCAAGAATTATTAGAGATTTCATTGCATTCCAGAGTCAATTTTAACAGTGAGGCCAATTAACCAGTGGAACATTGTGAACTTTAGGTCTTATTTGTTCCTTCACTTCCTATTTAGATCCTATTTGTTTAACTAAGGTTACTGGTTCTTGCTACATTTACTGTTGCACTGTTCAGATTTGGCATGTTCCGCGTTAAGGAGGTACTTACTGTAAATTGAGTCGCATCTCAACCTTCTCTCAAACTAGAGGCAGAATGCAGTATGAAGCATATCTTTCTGCCTTTGAATGGAGCTTTTTGGCTCCTCTTTGCATTCTTTCTGATTTTTGCATTCAAAATGCAGTTGGCAGGACTCTTCAGTCCATGAGTCTTCCCAATACAGCATTCAGAAGGAAAAGTCCTTTCCTATTTATTGCTGTACTATTCACATACCCAAGGCCCCTCCACACACACATGCTGTGGCCGAGGGTCAAACTGGTTTACTTGCTTAGCTAAACTTCCAAATCCTCTTCACAGAGCCTGTTATTTACTCTTCTATTATAATTTTGCATTTAGCCATGTTAAAACACATTTCATTCAAATGAGGCCAGCTTGTCAAAGCAGCCCTGTAAACTGCCAGCTTGCGTATCATCCATAGAAATTCAACATCTGCTTCCAAACACTGAACTGTGTCCTAGCAGAACACCCACAGAAATATTCCCATGCTGTGGTAACCAACAACTACTTTCGTAGTTGTAATTTCATAGAAATTACAAGTTAGCCAGTTAATTCATTTACTGTGCAGAATCTCAATATTGTTATTATTCTGTAATGTAATTTCTATATAATTCTAAAAATCAATGTCATGCAATAACTAAATCAAGCACCCTATAAAGAAAATACGGAAACATTCATCTTTCTCAACAAAACCTGTAATTTTATGGGTGTAAAATCTGTTTTGCTTGATGTAATCCATCTTCCATAAATAGTAGTCACCAACTTCAAATATTCCTATCCTTAACTTTATTGTTAACTGTACTTATTCCTAATTTTCTTTTTTAAGTTGTTCTTTTTTAATCTAGGACTAAGGTCAGTCAGGGTGAGGTTTTTTGTTTGTTTGTCTGGAACCTAACAAATTAAACTAGTCATCTACCCACACTGTCTGAACACCGACAAAGTAACAATCAGTTATCTGGAATATGCCCTATTATTCCAAACGTTAAGCTTTAAATGTCATAATGCTAGAAATCTCCTCATCCCAGTCTTTCACCATTCCTGGATGAAGTTTATTTAGGGCTGCAGATTTGAAATGTCCACTACCTCATGCTGCATTTAATGTCCATTTACAAATGCATTAGAAAGTACTTCCATTGTTCTCATCATATAGCATAAGCTTATCTTCTTCCTTTTCCCAGAAGAAAGGCCAACAGCTTTAAGAAATTCTGATAATACATTTTAACAGCAAGAAAAAGTACAGGCATTCAGTTAGAATATTTTTTAAACAAAACAACAAACATTTTCTGCCCACTAGCTTTTCTACACAACAGAAAACATCTCACGAAGCATATCAATCTCTCCCAGACTCTTAGATTTTAAAAGAAAAAGGAAAAAGATACGGCTTATACTACAGGAAAACAAGAAAACAATCTGCACAACTTTGCAACAGCTGACACTACTTCTGGAAAAATAAGCTGCAAACGCTTCAACATTGTGAACTCTCTGGGGGATAATGAACACAGCACAGATATCCCTGACAAAATAAATTGATTAATCGATGGGAGACTAGTTTGATGCAAAGGTTTTGGCTTTGCTGACTTCTTGGTTTGTTGAGGAGGGTGAAGAGTGTGTTGGTTATTTTCAAGACATCATTTACCATCGTCAATTCTAAAATACAAAGTCTAAAAAAAAGTGCAGAGATTTAAAACAAAACAAAACAGGAAACCAGTTAGGTGCAAAAAAGATCAGTAACTCATGCTCCCACCCCTAAAACCCTCCGCAAAACTTTACGTTTCCACACACAGGCTGATGCATACTTGTACCATGTTGTGATAAAGAACAGGAATGCTGACAGATCTTTAGCTGTCACCGTAGCAGTAACACATTGGCAAAAATACTTGTTGCTTCCTAGAGTCCAATAACAATGAAAATAGCATCCTTAACCACTCAGCACCATCTTCTAAATTGTCCATCTCATACTCACGGATTATTCCGGTGATTAAAGTAAATCTGAAGAACGTGCAGCCTATTCTTGAACTTCCAAAATTTCAACTTCCAGAATTGGTACGCAAATGAGACAAAAATAATTCAAAGT